TAAAATTCATAATCAAAATCCATGAAGCCTATGCAAATGTATTGCTGGCTGCAGTTCAAATGTGGTCAGGCTCATTATCACTCGTGAAATACCCTGTATATGTTGTACTTACAAAAAAAAAAAAAATGTCATAAAAATTGCATATTGAGAACTTTAATGTACCATACAAACAAATTATGATGTATTAAACATTTCAGGCACTTCTAATAGTCCGGGCAATGAACACATTCAAGGTTACAATAATTCGCATAAAGCTGAAAATTGGTACGAATGTTGGACACCCCATTATAAAAGAAATGTCAAAAGTCCCCATAGATCCCACATCTGCAAAAAAAGTTATTCAAGGTCAAATGTTGCAAAAATGGGATTTTTGCATTTTTCAGCCAAACGGTAAGTTTTATCATAAAAATACATCATACAAAAGTTGTAGAGCATGCAATTCTCTATAAAAAATGTTTCTATACTTTTTTTCCTAAGAGTAACCATTTCTGAGATATAGCGATTTAAAAAGTTGTGTTCTTCATAATATGCACACGTTTCCACGCCATCTGTGAGGTAGGTACTTGGCGCGTTTTTTTAACGTGGTTGCCTCGGTAGGCCTATTTCACGATCTATTGAGGTTCTGTTTAAATAAGAAATATTGTATCAAATGACAAATGGTACTATTGGAGATGATAAAAGCGATGTAAATTATGAGTAATATAGAGGAAAATTATTCTACCGTCTTCTTCTTTTATTTCTTCTTCTTCATCTTCCTGCTGGGTACAAGTAAATTGTTCTAAGAGCGATGAATCAGATGTCTCCTTGCAGATAAAACAACAATTTTTAAATTGTTTGTAAAACAAAACTTAATTAATTGTGCTGAAGTTTTTCAAAATAGTAATTCTACTCCACAAGTTGTAATCATCAACGGAATTCGCTATCTTCTAGGAGAAGATGTTTACGGTATCTGCGAGGAGACATCTGTGTCATCGCTCTTAGAACAAGTTACTTGTACCCAGCAGGAAGATGATGAAGAAGAAGAAGAAGACGAAGAAGACAGTACACTTGAAATACCATCAGATAACTATCAATCAGACGAATAATTTTCCTCTATATTACTCATAATTTACATCGCTTTTATCATCTCCAATAGTACCATTTGTCATTTGATACAAGATTTTTTAATTAAACAGAACCTCAATAGATCGTGGAATAGGCCTACCGGAGAAACTACTTTAAAAAAATGCGCCAAGTACACTACCTCACAGGTGGCGTGGAAACGTGTGCATATTATGAAGAACACAACTTTTTAAATCGCTATATCTCAGAAATCGTTACTCTTAGGAAAAAAAGTTTAAGAACATTTTTTATAGAGAATTGCATGCTCTACAATTTTTGTCTGATGTATTTTTATGATAAAACTTACCGTTTGGCCATTTTCGCAACCTTTGACCTTGAATAACATTTTTTGCAGATGTGGGATCGATGGGGACTGTTTACATTTCTTTTATAATGAGCTTCCCAACATTCGTACCAATTTTCAGCTTTATGCGAACTATTGTAACCTGACCCCTATTTTTTAAGCTAACTTGCCCGGACTATAACGAATCCATACTTTTCAACAGAATAGACAACAAAAATAAGTGTAAACTTGAACTCTCGAATTCGAACAGATTTTTCAACAACAAAAAATATATTTATTATCTGCTTTCCACCCGTATTATTTATTTCAGGTTAGTTGGAGTAATTAAGGTAATTCCTAGAAATGGCTTCAGGAGCGAACTTAGCTACCACCCTTTTAACATCAAGGATTAAGAAAGAGCTGACCGCCGGAGCGAACTAGTATGCGCCCACGACATGTTTTAAAAGCGAATGCGGAATTCCGTCAAGTCCTTTAGAATCTTTTTTTGATATGTGCTGAATTTTGAGACTTCAACACTTGTAATAGGTGCTAAAAAAAGATTTAGAATTATTTTTTTCATTCATAGTTTTGCGAATCACGTTCGTGAAATGCCGTTGGAATATGTACAGAACACAGTGTTTGTTACCAATGTTAAGAGCCTCCAAGGCGTTAAAAATGCAGATGGTGCTACACTACAAAATCAGTTATTTCTGTACACAAAATTTAAGTTCACTGTTTTTTTCACCAAAAAAAATTTTGAAGTAAAATTTTGTACCCCTCGCCACAGATTCGTATTACTTGAGTGACATTCGAAATAAGAATTTTAGAAACTTCAGTTTCGGGGCATTTTAAAACGATAATTATAATTTAATTCAAATATAAAAAATCCCATAAGCCGCGATGAACTTGTCAATGCGACATTGAATAAAGTTAGCTCTAACTGTGCATATTTGGACAAAATGTGTGCAAACTTTCGTAGCAGAGTTTCCCGAAACTGATTATTGCTTATTGCTTTAATAACGGATATACAATTTTAAAAATTAACAAATTAGTTGAAATTGATGTGCACAATGACATACATGCGTTATGGCACGTAGAAAAAATAAAGAAATTGAGGCCAATGAAAAACAAACTACTCCTAAAATAAGATACTCGTAAATACAACACCGTCAATTTGGCGACAGTTTGTTATTTATTAAATCATCAAGGTTTTTTCTTTTGTGTTAATTGACTCCACAAACCACCAGATAAAAAATTCGTTCTTTCGGACGAGTAGGCGGTTTGTGTCGTCACAACAAATTCTCGTAAAAATATTTCAATTCTATCCGAATAAAAAAAACCTTTCGTGTAACTACAGTTGAAAATTTTTTAATTTTTAGATTTGTTAAGTATGTTAGTTTTCAACGGCTGATAGTGTACTTACATTTATGACATACATCTGAAAGACTTTATAATGCAAGATTCCCATAAGATTGTCTCAAAAAATATATTAAATATTAAACGTAGCAAAATTAAAAATTTGAGTTTCCCCAATTTTTTTTTAAAAAGTACAGTCGCGTGCTACATATTTTGGTCGTCAATGTCACTAAAAAATTGTTCTATTTTGTCATAAATTTTGCAATTTACCCTTTGTGATTGATGTTCAAAAAAGTCAAAAATAGTTTAAACGTCGAATAGCTTTCTATTATTACTGACATTATGTCACCAATTTCAAATTATATAAAAATATGTTTGTCCAAAAATGACATTGACGACCACAATATTATACGCAATTGTACTATCAACGGAAAAATTTTGCAACTAGTTTCTTAATAAAGGGATTAATAATCTCAACAATTAACGCGGTCGCTACATTATAATGTCTCCATATTAATCGCTCTACAATGGAACAACTATAATTGGAACCAATTATTATTGTAAGAGTTTGTAATGATTAACATTTACGAGTACTTTGGGAAATACAGGGTGTCCGGAAAGTCGCGCATCTCCTTGAAAGGGAGTAATTGGATAGTCCCCCAGAGTACTGAAAAAAAGTTTAAAAAAGTCTATTTGAAAAAATTTACATTTAGTTTTTGACATTTGACATTTTTTTATGTCTATTTAATGATACTGATGATCTTGTATATGTTTTTTCATAATTATTTAGTAAAGAAACAAAAAAATTTCCCAATAAAAGCCACAAATAACACTAAACAGAGTTACAATTTAGGATACAGCTTCTTTGTTTCCTCTTCTATCAGGCTGTAGCAAAAAAACTTGGAAAATTATTTTTTTAACAGAAATAAATAAGGTCAAAGTGCAAAATTTAAAGTCTCATAACTTCGAAATTTTTCTAGATATTTAGATTTTAACATCTAGATTTAGATTTTTTTAGGGCACCGTCCGATGATTCAGTGTACGCAGGTGCGCGACTTTCCGAACAGTCCTCATGTCCTCCTTTGATTAATAATTTTTGTTGTCCATTAAAAAACAGATCAATGGGCTCTTACACCATGTTAGAAATTTTAATTATTAAAAACATTACTGGATAGGATTTTTAAAATATTTAATAAGACACCTATTTTTTGGTTTTGAGAAGAGTTTGAATATTTAAAATTTAAAAACCCCATCATAACGTAATTGTGAGAATCTTGGCCAAAAACGCGCTCAGCTCGTGTGTCAAATTTTAGAAATCTAGAAGTCTATCATAATTAGCGAGCAAATTTAATACCGTCAGAATGTTTTATTGTTTTTTTTCTAGAATTGTGCGGTTAAAATAGCAAATTCTAACAAAGTGTGAGAAAATGTGTTATATAATATCCTGTTAGAACATACGATAAATCTATTATTATACAGTGTGAGTCTTAACTTAAACGCTTAATTTTAGGAATGATGTCAAATAATAACTAATAGTGAAAAAAAATTCCAATAAAAGTTTCTTGTTCCGAGAAATACCGCGTTAAAATTACTATCAGATTTTAAAATTTTAGATAATTTGATCTGATGACACCAATGTCGACATTACATTTGTTCACGCCATTTTCGTTATTTAGGTAGAGTTAAGTGATATTTATATTTGTCAAAAATAAAAAAGTTTTCTTTACCTTGTTTTTAATTTTTTTACTCATTATTGATCATAACTTTTAATTCCCAAAGTTTATCCGTATAACTCCGTACAAATTAAGACTCACCGTGTATAACTATTAAAAATAGTGTTGGTGTTTCAGGTGTAGTATCCCATGATCAAATAAATGTGAAGTTGGAGTTGAGAAAACAACATTCTAGCCTTTGCTTGTTTCAAATAAAAATTTGGGGTGTCACTACTAAAGCGACAAAAATTAGACACGGTTTAAATACTTTATGTTGAGCCAAAAACATTCAGGGCCAGTTTCATGATCGAATTTAAAGGAGCTTTAAATTAAATGTCGTTTAGAATGTGTTCATTATTACGGACTTGTTGACTACAAATTCACAGTCTAAACAAACATTAATTTTAAAATCTCTTTAATTCGATTATGAAACTGGCCCTCAACTTTAAAGAAGCGTGTTAAAAATTTAAATACATTAATCTCTTTCATAATGTATATTGCATATATATATATATATATCAAATATGAAGTAATTTTGTTGTTCTTCGATAGTGAACTATAGCGCTAAATGCTTGAAATCCAAGACCTCTCTGTGGACAAGGAGCGTCGACTGACATCTTCTAACTTCTTCCTTGCACGAAGGCAATCATTAATTTATTTGTAACAGCAAGTGTTACACAAGTTGCGAATAGGTTAACATTGTGGAGTAGTAGTTCGAGTTTTCGATTAATCGCAGAAGCGATTGCTGTAACCCAGTAATCAGATTAGTGCTAACTTTAGCCGTAATACCCACGTTTCTGTTCTCTCAACTCGATCCGATTCTGATGGAAAGCTTGCACCAATTACCCACCCACTTACAAACTGATGGGAAATTTTAACTACGTGATCCTGAAACACGTATCTGAAAAAAAGACGAAATCCGAGATCGGTACATTACTGATTTGGTCAAAAACTAAATAAGAAATAAAAGTTAGCGATAGCCGTTGGATGAGTAAGCCAAACGTATACAGTTTGTTCTCGAATTGATTTAGAAACAAAATGCATTTATTTTATTTAAAACATCAAATTAAATTATTATGAAACAACTAAAGATACGATTTTGTAAAAAAAAACTTTTGAATAAGTGCTATGGATAGTAGCAATTTTAAAAACAAATCATCTTCAAATATTTTCATTAAAGTATCAAAAATTCTTCAAATATAATACTGTAATTATCATCTATTCTGCTAGAAAAAATATAATAGTATATTATAATACTAGTTTATAAGTATGAGGATGGCCGGGATAAAATCAAAAAAACTTGTTTAATTCCACAAATTTTATTACAAGCCTGACTTATTTACAAAAACTGTCATTTCCCTTTTTTTCAAGACACACTCTTTTTTTTAATATCGTTCTGTCGAATTAGCAGTGTTGACTAATAATTCCCAACATTTAATTTAAAAACAGGCGCTCACATAAGCAAGCCTTTATAACACGCACGACGGGTTTAAGAGCACGACGCGTCAGCGGAGTAAGTGTTTTAAAGGCGCTTATAAACGAGTGTTATACGCTATTTTTATTATTATACCTACCCATTTACGATCTTTTATGAGCATTGAAAAAATGTGAATTTACACAATAAAATTATCAAAAGTTGTTTGTGAATCGTTTTCGTATAGACGGTTACTAGTTTACGTTGTTGAGCAAATTTTTTCACGTTGTAATTGGTCCATACATTTCACTATCTCTTGTTACTTAGAAAACAATAAAATTCAGCGTGCTATAAAGGCCAAATTACGCAAGCTGATGCGTATCTTAATTTAGCATTATGATGCAGGGTTATATAGTTTCATTGGTAATATGTACCTATTTAGTACTTCTCTCATTTTCACAAATAAATTTTTAAGCCTTGAACAGAAACAAAAAGCAATTTATTTTTAAGTAATTTAAAAAATCTATAAATGAACTAATTTTTTATATAGGTGTCCGGAAAAACATTGAAAGATTTCGGGAGGTGATTTCTTAGATTAATATAAGAAAGAAAAATCTTATACTGAAAAAATCTTATACTTATAAAAAAAACTCATTGCTTTTGCTTTTCTAAATTAAAGTCGATGCGCGGTTTACAAAACCACCGTTTTTCCCGAAAATTATAGCCCATAAATCCAAATCTGCCCCAAAAAATTATTCCAAATCAAAATTTTACGCTTTAAATAAATGAACCCTAGTGTCTTAATTCACTTTTTTATTAAAATGTTTCTTTCTATTTAGCCCCCCCCTAACAACTCGGCGCCCGGGTGCGCTGCAAGTAGCTGTCTTGAAATTGACGAAACTTCTTATAAGCCCCACTTTGTTGAAGGAAGAAACTAGCCACAATAAAATGTTTCTTACAACTTAATTAATTTTTGGCGTGGTGTTTCGATATTTACATTTATTTTTGTAAAAACTTTGACAAAATTATGCAGAAGTACTTTTTAGACAAAAAGATGATGTTTTAAAATGACATTGCCTACCAAAATTTAATGTTTGCAAATATACGTTCAAAATCAATATTATCTGCTCTTACTTAAACAGTAAAACATAAAAAAAATAAAACTTTTGTCCGGTTAGTTTTTTCTCAATCTAATAAGAAATGATGTAAAGTAAGAAAAAAAGGGAACAATTCTTACGATTCAAATGATTACTGCAGTAAGAAGATGCTATAGAAAGCTTCAAGAGCCATTTTTTTTCTTCTTCTTGGTTCTTCTTCTTGGAGCTTGGTATGGAAAGGGAACAAAAACACGATTAGCCCGTCACACCAAACTTTTATTTGAAAACACAACGCGTTTCAACCACAAAGTTCCTCAGGTAAGAATAAAACTTCAAGAGCCATTATTAATTTTTCTGGTAAAAGAAAGGAAATATACAGGATGCGCCAGAACTCGCGCCCCATAGAAAAATGCCATATAAGATTAAATACCAGGAACAGGGAAAAAATGTCAAAAAAATTTATCTATAAAAATTTTCGAAGTTATGAGGGTTTAAAGTTTGCACTTTGTTTTATTTATTTCTGTTGTAAAAATAATTTTCCAAGTTTTTTTGCTATAGGCTATTAAAAGAAGAAGCAAGGAAGCTGTATCCTAAATTGTAACTCTGTTTTATGTTATTTGTGGCTTTTATTGCCAAAATTTTTGTTCTTTTACTAAATAATTGTAAAAAAACATATACAAGATCATCAGTATCATTAAATAGATATAAAAAAATGTCAAATGTCAAAATATAAATGTCAAAATTTTTTGACAGATAGAATTTTTTAAACATTTTTTTCATGTTCCTAGTATCTTACCTTACTTGAAAATTTTCTCTGGGGCGCGAGTTCTCGCGCACCCTGTATAATGTATAATTATTACTTCTAAAGACAAATAAATTGCAAAGTTAGGCGAGGGCGGGGTAAAATGACGAGTTAATCTTCTACGATTTTTCCTGGCCACTGTAAATGGATTTAAGAACTGAAATTTTTGTGAGAACTTCATCCGTGTCTTGCTTAATACCAGATCTCTCACCTTCTCACCTTCAAAAGGACGATACAATGTAATTTTCGTCATCTTACCCCATAGCTGGAATATATACGTATATGATTTGAAAACATAAAAAAACCTTTATTAACCAAGTACGAGTAATTGTAATAAAAATTAAAAAAAAAAAACTGAAAAAAGTGCAGAAGTCGCATTTGTAAGCCCTATGGCTGGCCTTCTTTTGATTTCATCGGGAACACTCAGAATGAGCCCACTTGAAACACTGGTACTATAGTTCATCCTCACCTTCTTCCGAGCATATGATGCACTATATGTCTTCTTCGAAATCCGGCGAATCCATATCATATCAGTGTCGACGTAAGGTACGGCATAAGATAGCTCTTCGTCAGAAGATGAAGAGAAGTCCAATTGACGACGTGCTTTCTTTATGTTCGCCTTCTTCGTCAAACTTTTCTGTCTTGTCAGCTCTTTCTCTTCTTGCTTCTTTTGTTTCTGTTACGACGCCTTTTTTACAGTAGTTCCCAATAAAAAAACGACGGCAATTTTTCTTTTGTTTTTTATCAGTCTTTTGTTTGCCACTGAAAGTAGAGGAAGAGCCGAAGAAGTAGATGGAGTTAGATCCATAAATCGGGAAAGAGTTTGGGAGATCATAGGCTGTGGTTGAAGGTGCTGGCTTGCAGGAGAATTAAAAATTAATTGTGATCTTTCCCCCTCACGCCATTTTTATCAAAACAAAGCTTATCATTAACCTAAATTATTGTAAAAAAAAATAAACCTCCTATTAATTAGTAGGTATTAAGTTGTATTTTCAGAACATTTTAGTGAAGAAGTTAAAGAACTTAACGTAGAATGCTGATTTCCTGCGTTTTGACGCTCAAAAATTACAATGAAATAGGTTTTACATAAACTTTTTGTCACAACTTGCTTTAATGTGCACGCACGCTTGTTTATCCCACCTAGTAAGGAACATTTAACATCAGTGGGGAACTCTTATGCACTTTGGGACGTGCTGTCCTCTGTGACAACATGTGAAAAATACTGAATTCGTCATCTTTTTCCATTCGTCACCTTACCCCGCCCCCCCTACCAAATTTTAAAACAAAGTAACAATAACAAATCGATCATAAATGCCAAAACTTGAAAATGTTAGTAGTTATTAACATCATAAGGCCGGTATGTAGCAAATAACAAAAAAGATTTAAGTTTGAAATCGGCCCTGTTTCCTTCCTTACTTTTTGTTATCCTAAAAGATTTCTACAAAATTGTTCAAAATCAAAATGTCAAACTTGACGCAAGTAGCATTTTGTATGGCAACATGCGTAACAACGTCCATTTCCTGTCCGTTAAATGTTAACGGCCTCGACTGTTATATAATCAAATAGCAAGGAAGTCTCAAGAAACAATCAAGTAATGATTCGGGAAATATTTTACATTAGAAATTTTTTTCGGCTACGCATTCAACGAACTGAATTTTGAATATTTCAAATTCACTTAAGAAGAATTTTGAAAACTACGGGGTACCAATATAAAAAATTTAACAGAGAGTCCCTACTTAGTTTCCAAAAAATATTTAGATTTTGAAGAAAACTTTAATTTCCTTGTATGAAGGCTGGATTTATCAAAATGGAATTCTATTCCACTCATGCGAATGAATGTCTAAACATTATTATTACTTTATTAGGCAAACTAATCCTATGATGCCTTTTTGGACTTCACTATTGATTTAAACAACAGCATCCACCTGCTATTTTTGCACTTAGAAGATTGAATAAATATTCGAGATTTTAGATGTACATTGATTGTATCACAAACGTGGAGTCGTAGCTTCACGTTGTGTAAGAGGTAGTGGCCATATAACACTTTCTCTTGATTTATTTCCTCGTCACGCACGGTTTTCTGCTCCGTGCTTGATCCGCACTGACACTTATCTAATATACCATATCATATATAAAGTCGAAAATCGCATGAGGATTTCGCTGTACACACACTAGGTCATCCACTTGGCCATAAATATCGTGTCTCTGCCCAAACTAGTTGACAGAGAGTGTCGATCTCGTAAATTTATGTAAAAATCAACGAAAGATTGTGTAATTTCTATGAAAGTTTTGTGTCATTTTGATAGGAAAGCGAGGTTTCCAATCTCGGTGGTTTGGAAAATTTATTTCGTTTGTTTGAAACATATAGAAGGAACTCATATCGATTTTCCAACACTTTGATGAAGAAAAATTTTATTTATTTTGTCTTCACGCATCTCACATGCTGGGAAGTGTCAGTTTCTTATCTTGCTTTCTTTTTGTCAAAGTTTACAGGAAATTGCTCATTAAAACATTGAAGTATCTAGCGATCAAATTAATTTGTAACAAAATCACTCATGAACTTAAATCCGTATGTCTTTTGCGATTAATTAATTCTTAGATCTAAAGTTACGTCATTTTAAAGACTTTTTATTCCGCTCTTACATCTTTCTTGAAAATACACGTATTTTTTACAATAAAATAAGTATCACAGTACATGTTATTAACGGAGTGACGGAACTGTTCCGTGAAACAGTCACTGTTTCAAAATAACAGGTCCAATATTCTTATACCATCTCTACATCATACTTGTTGTGCAAAGGATTTAGGAGTCATTTTTGATACGGAACTTAATTTCAATGAACATATCAGGAATGTTACTGCAAATCGTATGGTTTCATTTACAAAAACCGTCGTGAATTGCACAACACTACGGTCCTAAAAACTCTATTTTTCTCGTTGGTCCTATCCAGACTTGAATCCGGCAGCCAATTTTTATTGTCCATATAAGTCAGCTTGAAAATGTACAGCGAAAATTACTGAAATTCTTAGCATTTTTAATTGATGGGAACTATCCTACGAGAGGCTTTGATCAGGCAACTTTTAAAACGATTCAATCTTAGAGCTCTGCAAACTACACCTTTTTCAAGTGTAATTCAGAAAGCGTAAGATATATTTCAGAAAACGTTAATTGTATTCAGATTAGACAATTGTATTTCAGAAAGTATTAATTGTAATTCAAAACAGTAAAATGAATTTCAGAAACAATCAAATGTAATTCAGATTAGTTAATTTAATTTCAGAAAGCGTAAATTGTAATTCAGATTAATCAATTGTATTTCAGAAAGTGTTAATTGTAATTTAGAGTTTGTCATTTGTAATTGAGAATTCGACAATTGTAATTCAGAATTTGTTATTTTTATTTAAAAATCCCTTTGAAAATAAAATATCTTATTTATTTTATAAAATACCAAGTTTATGTAATTCTTTAATTTTGAAAACAAAATAATTGGTGTTTATGTGTAAATTTCATTTTGAGAAAACAGTAAGTTACTCATCTGAAATACAATTGATATTTTCTGAATTATATGTAATGGTTTCTGAATTACAATTAATACTTTCTGAAATACAACTGACTAATCTGAATTCCAATTTATGCTTTCTGGAATTGAAAAATGTAATTTTTTAGCTTTGCATACTCGGCTTTACCTTGTACAGGGTGCTGCATTTTGGATGTCCGAATAGGGAATCTCCGAAATGATAAAATTAAGAGATTCACTTTTGGGTGTGCTATTAAAAAGTCTGTCTATCAAGCAAGCCTAGAAATTTAAAACTTGTGTCTGCGGACGATAAAATGCCAAAATGACAAACAAGAAATGTCAATATGTTAACTGTAACAACAAATAGTGGTGAACGATTTGTATGAATAAACACCAACTACTTTAGGGTGTTTTAAGACATTTCATAGAGGAATTCAATTTGTTTAGATCAATATTTTAATTTTTATAAAATAATTTTTTGACATCTAGCTGACATACGAACTCGCAAGCGACATACGTCCTCAACTAGTACGCCTACTTGCTAGAAAGATTTTTTGATCGCACTGTACAGGGTGCTGCATTTTGGATGTCCGAATAGGGAATCTCCGAAACTAAGAGGTTTAGCCAAAAACGAGTGATACATTCTGGGGCTCATTTTTTGAGAAAATAATATTGGTTAAAACCGCATTCCGCTATCGTCTCTTGTTTTCGACTTATAGACAAAAATTGACATTTTAGCGAAATCTAAAAAAATTCATATCTTCGTTATTATAGAAGACACAGATTTGAAATAAAGACATTATACAGGCACTTTTTTACGTAGAATTTAATAAGTAGTTAACAATTTTTTTCAGTTTGTTTAGCCGTAATAAAATAAACTTGAATTTTTTTAAATGGGAATCATAGATGGCTATGTCATTTTTAAAAAGCTTGTTTTTCTCTTATCTAAAATATATATATTTGTAACAAATTATTATAATACATTTTAAGCAAAAAATTATCTTTTATTT